ATTTATCATTTGTATTTCCCCTTTAATTTTTAAAATTTCAGCCAGCTTCTTTTGTATATCCAGTAAAGAGTCCTTATCTGAGTCTTTCTCTTGGCCTTTCACTTGTATTTCCACTTTAAATGCTTTCTCTTGTAATCTACATTTTTTTAATGCAATATTTTGATTCTACTATTTTTGCATCAGGCAAGATTTGTTTCATATCTGTCATTCTTTCATTAACATCTTTTGCATGTAGTCTATCCATAGAAGCAGACATCATTACTATTATTGCTGATATTATGGCTACTAATTTCTGGCCCCCATTCTTCGAAGATCTCCTTTAGTATTTCAAATGCTACAGTTTTTTGTGTCATTTTGTAAATCCCAATACTGATCAAAACCAAAAGCAGGTTTACACTTCTTTTTTCTTTTTGCCTGGAATCTTTAGTCCCCTCTAGTGTCCAATTTAAATGATAGTCTCTAATCTCTGTTATGACTTACAATAGACAAAATAATTTTGGTTCCCAAAAAAAGCTGTTTATTTTATATAGTTAGTTCCAAAATCTTATAGTAAAAGTTTCAATGTTCCAAATTGTCTAAACCCTTAATTCATTTATAACTTTCTTAATTCAAAATCTTATTTAGCTTCTTGCCATTTATTTCAAATTCTTTAAGTTCCTAAACTTATAGTTAATTTTTCTTTTGTTCAGAAATGAAGATAGACACACTAGGTGGCTTTTCAAATGTTGTTCCGAAGATCTCTAATAGCTTTAAGATGGTTAAATAAGCAATTTCCAAAAGTGATTAGAAAGTGAGGTTAGCAAAATTAGTGTCCTTTAAAAGGCTCTGCCACGGTTGTGAGTTTGATGACCGATCCCTTTGTCTCTCGGTGCTCAGACGCATGGGAGACCACTGTCCTGCGGTCTCCTTGCAAGAAGCAGCCGTCCAAAGCACATGTGGGCAATCTCTCATTCTCTCCTTGTCCAGACAGGTTCCAAAGAACCGGTCTACTCACCGGTTCTTCAGTCTTTGCCATGGTCATCGCCTCTGCTCTCCCGGAGACATGTTTAGCTTGCTATGCCTCCCCCAGAAGTCCGGCAGAACACTAATCTCAAATCCAGAAGGACTTGGGTTCAATTCCTGAAATCTCTAATGAAAAGGGTCAAGAACCAGGAGATGGGAAACAGCCCCAGCTGAACCCCTTGAAGCTGATGACAATCAAAACAAACAATGCATTTGCTTATTCTAAGGCATCCTTCAAAGTTGATTTGCTCAGCATCCCTTTTTCCAATATTTTAAAATATTGCTGATTTGTGTAACATCTTAATATATACCCAGGTAATAGAGAACTCCAATAGCACTTGGAAGGGACTTCTGCAAAGCCACAATTTCCAGGTTATGGTGGTTCAGCTGGGTTGGTGACAAGCAATGACTATTAAAACACTATGTACTTTCTATTACTTTGCTTAAAGACAAGACCATCCATGCTATTCCACAGAAAGAGGCAAATCAAGGAAGCTAGTTCAATTCCAGGAAATAAAAGGCAAAAAGCAAGATTCAGCATACATTGTGCAATGTGGCCACCAGCTCAATAACAGACCAATCGCAGACAGAATGAGAGGCTTTGCTTGTGTGTTGGGTAACTGGTGTTGAATTATTGGGGGGGGGGGTAATGAAATTTACAACCCTATTTCTCCCTCTAATTGTAGCCATATTATGCTTTCCATTCATTGCTTGAAGAATTAGAGTCTGGAACAATAAGGTAGCCAGGCTCCTTCTCTCTCCCCAGACTCGAGTAAGTTCAGCACTGTGCATTATTCCTGGCCAGGTTGATATTTATTCCTCCCCACCCCCCAAGTCACCTTTGAAGATTCTGCCCTTTGTTACACCTAATGTAAAGCATCTGTCATTGCAGGCCCAAGGTTTCTCAATACAATCAGTTCACACATTTGCAGCTATGAATCACCAGGCCCTGAGTAATCAAAGTGATGAGAAAACCAGAAGTGTGGGGCAAGGATGCCTAAACCAATCCTCCATTTCCAAAAAATGCTTCTTATTATCCTTGATGTCATCCAAAGCTAAACCAGTCCACGTCGGCCAGATCACCACACCTCTGGAAAGGTACATCTCTTAATTCCGACAGGGGGACCTACAATCAGGCAACTGCAGGCTGTGGGGCCAGTGAGGAATCCTGGTGACCCAGAAGCCCAAGATGTTAGCTCAGAGAAAGAGACAGTCTATACTGCGGAGGAGGCCCTCCAGATTTTGTTGAAATACAGGTCCCAGCATCCAACCCTTTGGGCCACACCCTGGAGAAGCTAAGGATGGAAATTAGAATTTTCTTTATGAAAGAAGCAATGGGCCTTTGCCAGAGGAGGCTTGATTGCTCCAGGTAAGAGAATGGCATCTAAACCAGACTTAATCCTAGCACTTTGATTTCCTGTACCACTGAGGAGAGTTTGGTCTCTTTTGTTCTAAAGGTCCACTGTCGATTAGCTTCTCTTGATAACTCTCCTCAGGGACACTTCTCAGAAAGAAACAGTCCCTGAGCTGACCCTTGCTGGCAGTGACTTCCTGTGCAAGAGAGTTGGTAAAGAGAAAGGATGGGGAAACCTGGCACAGCTGACTCTCTATCTTGTCTGGACAGAGCATATGTTCAGTTTCTATGCAGAAAATCCACAGCTGCAAGGCTAGACTGGGATGTTTTTAAAAAAAATGCCAGAAGAAGGTGGTGATAAATAATTTCCATACTGTTATGAAGAAAGCAACATGGGGGTGTTTATGAGGTGACAAAGGGTCAAGCTCAACTCAAAGGAGACGTTAGCCCTTTTTTTAAAGCCTGGAACATGGAATTAATGTATCGGCAGCACCCTGAGCCCTGTTCCAAATGCAGGCTCAAGCTACTTCAGCACTCTGAGCAAGTTGGCTTTGCTGTCTTCCTCCAACCACTGTTGTGTTGAAGTGATGCAGATGTCCAAAGTGGACTGGGGTTCCCAGAAGCGACTTAACCCACAGAGGGGACGAGAGCCCAGAGAAGGCACCTGTCCAATGTGGAGCAGCAAGTTCTATCCACGGAAGTGGATCAATGAGGTAAAAGAAAAGGGTTGCGGTTGAAAAAATTAACTTTACTGTTTGTCCCAAGAGCTGGAGGTCAGGGCAGGAGAAATGGGAAAGCTGCAGATTATAAAGGTGTTAATCCAACACCCCTGGAGAGAGCCAGGCTTATTTTTTTCAATTATTTCCATCTGGCTTCCCACATATTCATTTTGAAGCTAAGTACAAGTAACTTAGTAATCAAGCTCATTAGAACCTAATAATAAAATGGCAACAAATCTAAAACAATCAATATATAGTATAATGAAAAGGGAGTGGGAAAGGGATTAAGTGAGACTACTCTGTACCCTTAAAGGGCTTCCAACAGGAGATAAGACTATAAATAAATCAGAAAAAAAGGCAGCCTGGATTTATAACCAGCAGCTTCATCTGTAGGTGAAGCTCTTCATGGCAGGGACACAGGTGTGATCACTTTCTCTCTTTCCAGAGGATGGTACTATGGAAAGGAAAGGAGGAGCCGGGGAAAGCAGGAGGTCAATTAAATTAAAAAATAGTGGCAGTTCCGGGCCAGAAACAGCGGGGGCTCGGATTCCTAAACACTTGCTGAACTGTGTAGAAGAGAGGAGTTTAGCTACAGCCACAGAACATGTATTTCCCCAAATATGCCCCAAATATCAAATGTAAACAGCCTGCTGCATTGGACAGCCCCAACCCCATAACATGGCACAGTGGTCGGTCCATCTCCCTTCCTCCTGCAACCCAGAAGAAACACCTCTGGCTAGCTCGTCCCTGCTTGCAGCGTTGGCAAGGCATCCTCATACTTCAGAGCAAGACTACCCCCAATCAGCTCCAATTTCCCACAGCATACCTGTGCCAACAAACAGGGGTCCCAAGTAGTCCACGATCTAGGCCACCTTGGCCATCTTTTCCTTTAACCAAGTCACAAACCTACTGTTAACCTCGGTTAGTCTGAACCTTGGTTCATCTTAAGTGTTAACGAAGGGTTTAGTTAATTGATGATTATTCTGTGAATCCAGAAGATGGGTTCATTGAACCAGGTGAAGTGTGCCATGTGAACCAGCTGAAGTATGTCATGTTGCGTGGCTTGTGGATTTGTGTGAATAGAAAGAAGGGGAGCATCAAAACAGGGAGAAAATGCACATCCCTGGATAAAATGCCAGGGAAGACTCTATTGGGGGAAAGCCCTATACCAAAAGAAGGTCCTGTCGCTGGCAGAACTTAAGCCTGGCTCTCAGTCGTTGGTGGCTAATCAAGAAATCTATGTCACCTCCAGCGTGAAAGTCAGTAATGTTCTCAAGGCCCCCTAGTTGGGGAACACAGTAGGAAAGGTACTATTGTAACAGCCTGTTAAGAGGGCTTTCTGGGCAAACCAGCAGATTTGGAGGCAGTCCATGTTGCTAAAACCAAAACTGACCGTCTTGAAATCCGCCAGTGATCACACACGCTAGGAGCGCAGAAACCTTAAATCTGCTGGTACAATAGTTCTTCAGTGATGAGGTGGTATTTTGCATGCCCTAAGCACGCTTCCCTAGCAATGAACCCCACTGAAATATGTGGGAAATGCGTGCTTAGGGGATTGGGGGTTGCACGACTAGTTCAGGGCGACGTCTCGAGATTAGAAAGCCTGCTTAGAAAACAGGTCCGAGTCAAGGTTAAGCTCGGGCTGAGGTCTACTTTCCATTCAACTTGCCATGGGGAGGGGAGGCGGGAGAAAGGACACATTCCCCCAAAAGTAGGCGCTCCCGACATTGCCACCGACCTGCTCTGCTGCCTCCGGGTCGAGATGGGGCTCCAGCAACGGGACGGTAAACTGGATCTTACGGGGACTGTTCGGTTCCATGCCGGCTCCGTCGTCCCGGAATCGAGGGCGCCCACAGCCGCGCTCGACAATCTACCTTGGCTCGCTCTTCCCCTCGTCCGCTTTGCTCCGTCCGGTCTGCGGGCGCCCTGCCACTCTCCTTCCCACCCAGGGCCGCTCGCGCCCTCCCTCCTT